GGGTTTGGGGTGGGGGGTATGGGGGTGCAGTTTCTGTGTGCCGTCCCCTGCTCCTCCTCCTCCTCCGTCTCCCAGTGCTGCAGCTGCCGCTGAGGGGGGTGGATCTGTTGGAGCCGTCGGAGTGGTACTAAGGGGTGAAGGGGGAGTGGAGCTAGGGGTGAAGCAGGGGGTGTGTGTGAGAGGGGTGTGGGACGGTCGGGGGAGGTTGAGTGGAGGCTGCTGTCTTGTCGTCCGCAGCACCTGTAGTCCGGGGCGCACTGTCCTGGTAGCCCAGAGAGTCTGCTGCGCCTGTCGCCCATGGGTCCGTTGCTCCTGTAGCTCCTCGTAGCCCGTGAGCCAGTTACTCCAGTAGTCCGGGGCGCTGTCTCGGTAGCCACTGTGCCAGCAGCTCCTGTTGCCCGTGTGTCTGCAACTTCAGCCGTCGTCTCCCATCTTCTATCCTCGCACAGTCCCTCCTCCTCCTCACTTGCCCGCTGTGATTACCTCTAGCTTTGCTTATAATTGTGAACTATTACTATGCTTGCTTGTTGTGCTGATTACACCCCACTTTGGCTATGGGGGTGTGTCAGAATGTTATAATTGTCTAGCCTGCAGTGGGGTACTCCATAGTGAGTACAGCCCAATTAGGGTTTGCTATATGTATCCAACTGCTTGCTAGTGAACCTGCTCCTTTCTTCATTCTTACTTTCTACTGCTAGTTCTGACACCAGCACCCTCAGCAGCAGCAGAACCTCCAGCGCCCGCAGCACCTCCAGCTCCAGCAGCACGCCTCCAGCGCCGGGCAAACCACTCACGCAGCTCCTGTGGAGAGAGTAGCTCCCGCCGGGACGAAGCACCCGAAGAACCTCCAGGCCCAGCACCAACAGACGCCACACAAGCAGGCCCAATACCCTCAGACTCGGCACCCCCAGACGCAGCACCCCTAGGCTCAGCACCCCCAGGCTCAGCACCCCCAGACTCAGCACCCCGAGGCGCAACATCCCTAGGCTCAGCACCCCCAGTCGCAGCACCCCCAGACGCAGCACCTCCAGGCTCAGCACCCCCAGACCCCGCACCCGCAGGCTCAGCACCCCTAGCAGCACCAGAGTCAATAGCTACCTCAACAGGCTCGACTGCGTCTACCTGGGACACACCTGAGGGGGCAGGACCCTGAGGGGGGAGGGGGTCTACCTGAGGGGGACCTGGCGTAAGGAAGAGCGGCGGGGGGGGGAGGGACGCAGTGCGGTAGGGGAAGAGACGGTAGTAGGGAACCGACTCGTCAAACGTGACGTCCTGGGAAGACAGAACACGGCGCGAGGTGGGGTGGTAAAACTGCCAGCCTGGTGCGTCAGGGGGGAAGCCAAGGAAGACGCAGGGAACAGCACGAGGGGACAGCTTGTCCGCAGACAAGTCGCGGACAAACGCCCGAGATCCCCAGACACGGAACGCAGACGCATCGCCAACCTTCCCCGTCCACAGCAAAGCAGGGGAGGTCTCCTGCATGGAGACCCGGGGCTGAAGGTTAATCTGATGCGCCGCGTACCGAACCGCAAACGGCCACAGAAAATGGGGGGCAGCCGCATGGACCATGGACGTACGAGCGACGTCCATGACTATGCCAATGCGGCGCTCAGCAATCCCATTTTGCTGTGGAGAGTCCGGAAGCGTGAAAGTCTGGCGGATGCCTCGTGCACGACAGAAGGCTCGCAGAAGGCCAGAGGAGAACTCTCCGCCTCTGTCGGAGTGCAGACGCAGAACAGGAAAGTCCGAGCCGAAACTCTCTCTGAGCTGGAGACGAGCTGCGCGGATCCAGGCAATCAACACCTCAGTGACCTCACCCTTGCTGCGCAAGGGGAAGACTGTGGTGTAACACGAGTAGTCGTCAACCACCAGCAGGAAGTAACGCTCGTGACCCTGTCCACGGACACGGGCTGGGCCCCACACGTCCATGTGAAGCGTCTGCAGCGGAGCCTCTGTCGGAGGAAACTCGGAGGAGTGAGGAGCAGCGCGCTGCCGCCCCTCGACGCAGGGAACGCAGGTGGGGGCAGGCCCCGGAGGAAGGGGAGGGAGGGACCAAATAAGACCAAAGACAAGGACACGGGAGGCCATGCCTCGAAGACGAGGCAGGGAGGGGTGACCAAGGCGGTGGTGCCAGAGGAGAGTCTGGTGAGACAGGAGACGACACGAGCAGGGGGCAGACTCAGGACCAGACCTGGACGCCGCAGCAAACACCTGACCCGACGCGGCTACCTGATCAGAGTCAGCGACCGGAGGAGACTCAGTAGTCAGTGTGTACAGGCTCGACCTCGGCTGACGGGTAAACGTGGCCAAGTGACGGCCCGTCCGAGCACAGGTACAGTGGGTCACTCGCTGACTCGCAGGAGTGAACTGGTGAACCCCTCCATCCTGGAGGTCAGCACCACTCACCAAGTTCGTAGAGAACGAGGGGAGGTACAGACCTGACAGGGTGCCAGAAGGGGCCGCTGGACACGGTAGGATAGTAGAGAAGTGGGCAAGGACAGGACCCCCAGAGGGGTCCGCCAGGGAGACTGCCACTGGCCGACTAAGCGGCGTGAGCGTGGTGCGGTCTCGAAAGAAGGAGCGGGAAGCACCCGAGTCAAGGGTGAAGGTGTGGGTGGCCGGAGCCGACGCGGTACCTGAGAGCGCAGACTCACCAGCACCTGGGGTAGCAGACTCACCGGCACCTAGAGCAGTAGCCTCACCAACACCTAGAGCAGCAGCCTCAATGCTCGGGTCAGGCGGAAAACACCGGTAACAGTCACCCTCATCACTAATAGTCACAGCATACATGGCAGCAAGAATGGCATCAAAATCAAGATCAAAGATCGCAACACCCGCCCTAGACAGCTCGCCCCAGCGAGGGATCTCAGTAGCATCAGGGAACTGGTGACGCCAAGCGTCCGTCAGGCGGCCGAAGCAGCGCTGGGTGGACTGCGAACCCCCACACTGCTCACCCGCGCGGTCGCCGGTGCGTAGAACGTAGGTACAGGGGCCAGCACCCCCACCCCGCTGACGAGCAGTGTACCACTCACGAAGCTGCTGAGGGGAAGGGGTCTCACGAGTGCGCTGCTGCTGCTGCTGCTGGCGCGGACCACCACCGGAGCCGACCCTCTGCGTAGCGCCACCCCGACCAGCTCCACCTCCGCCGCCGCTACCTCCACCACCGCCTCCACCTCCGCTACCCCCGCTCGCACCACCACCACCGCCGCCTCCTCCGCCTCCACTGCCGCCACTAGTACCCCCACCTCCGCCTCCACTCCCACCGCCACCCCCACTCCCTCCGCCGCCTCCACCGCCTCCTCCACCGCCCCCGCCAGCTCCTCCAACGCCCTTGCCCCCCTTGCCCTTGCCTGTGCGGCGTCTCCCGCTAGGGGCAGACGCCGCGCCGACCGACTCAAGACCAACGAGGTCGGCCGCAGCAGCAGAGGCAACAGAGGGCAAGAGGGGGGAGGGGGAGCACCCCTCAAAGACAGGGGTACGAGGGTCACCGCGAGAGGCTCCTACAGCGACTATACCCTTCTCTGCTGCTAGGAGGCGCTCCTCGAGGAGGTCAACGGTGAGAGTGGTGGGGCAAACAGAGAGGAAGTGGTCCCTGACCGAGCGAAGGGTGTCAGGGAGCCGGGTGACTAAGTAGTAGAGGGTGATGTACATGGGGGGGGGGGTTCTTGGCGCAGAACTCAGCAGGAAGCGCAGCGCGGTAGCGAATGTCACTAGTGCGAAGGTGCGTAATGAGGTCAGCGACTGTGGGAAAAGCGGCGAGGTCAGGGAAGAGGTACGGCAGTATGAGGCGGCTAAGGGCAGCAGTGGCAGGGGAAGAGTAGCGTGCAACTACAGCGTCGTACAAGGTCTTAGCACTCTTGTACTGGCTAAAATGCGTGCGCTCAGCAGTAGGCAAGTGGCGGCGCACAGCAAGGCGGGCAGCAGCAAGACCACTCTTCCGGAAGGCCGCATAGCAAGGTCAAAATCCAATCCTCCTCCGTGACCGTTCCACCGAGGTCTACGAACGTTTCCCCGAGTTCCTCCACACGAGTCGCATACTCGTGCATCGATTCGCCCGCGCGCATCTTCACCGTGTAGAACGCATTCCGGGCTAGGATCTTGCCGTGGAGAGTCTTGTTCACGTGCATTGTCTCGAGCCGCTTCCATGCTTCATGTGCCGACGCTTCGAGCTTGATACACGTGCGCACCGCGCTTACGAGGTTGATGCCGATGCGTGAAATCAACGTTGCGAACGCCTTTTGGTCCTTCTTCTTCCATGCTGCGATGCCGCTCTCGTCGTCCGGCTTCTTCTCCGTTCCATCGAAGAAACCCCTAAGTCCCCGCTCCATCATGAGCACTTGGAACTTAAACTTCCACGCGGAGTAGTTTTGTCCCGTGAAAATCGGTGCCGCCGACGTGTCGAACATCGTCGCGGTTGCCCAGGGTTCGCCGGAATTTACAACGATACCAATTAAGGAAGTGCGGGAGGCCTTGCTTGAAGTCGGCATGCTTGCTCCTTGTCGCGCGCGTAGACTCCTCCGACCAGCTCTGATACCACTGTTGTAGAGGACTCTCCTCTACGTTGCAGGAACTGGGAAATGTTCTAAGCAATAGAGCTCTATCTTAGCTCTCCAACGAGCCGTCACACACGTCGATCGCCTAAGTACCCGCTGAGATTTAGGCGTTCACGTGTTGGGTGGAGCTCTTGAATGCAAGTATAGAAGCTCTCTGGAATTTGTGTTCGAATGCACTGTGTACAAAGTGATTCGCGTTTTCAGTATTGAACATGCAATACAAAGCAAACAGATCTATAGCATCTATCAACATCGAGTCGCACAAGTAACCTCGAACCGCGGTACACTCGCAAATGTTCGAGTAACATTTCGAAGGGGTGAAATTCGACACTCGAATTTCACCGAACCGAATGTCACTTCAATCTGGAATGTTCCTGGTGCTGCCATGTGGCACCGAATCGAGTGGGTCTTCCGAAGTCAACCCACACACTTCGTGAAACCTGCAGCTCACTCAAACGGTGAGCACCGAAACACATTCGGTGGGTTGGGGGCGTACAAACGCCCCACCACCACCTTGCTTCCAACACACGCGATCTTCACCACCTTGTTTTCGGGCATTTCAAATATCGTCAGCTTCTGGAGGCGCATGACGGAGTCCGACAAGTCGCCGGCGAGGCACGAATGGCGGAAGACCAGCGAGTAGAGCTCCGCGAGATCGCCAATGGCGGGCGACAGCGCGCCGGGCGGACAGCTCCCCCCGCTCCCGCCAGGCCCGCCGGGCATGTCCCAGCGGCTCGGGTCGGAGAAGATGCGCGTGATGCGGCCGGCGGGCGTGCACTCGAGCGGGCACCAGAGGCGGCACGAGACACCAGCAAGCTTAGGCGCGACGCAACAGTAGGAGACGTTGTGGGTGTCGTCGAACAGCTTGTACTGCGGTATGCCGTCGTGCCAAAAGAACATCCCCTCGGGCAGCGCCGCGTACACCGCGCGCATGGCCTCCCGGTCCACCTCCGCTATCTCCGCGACGCACCCGTCGGGGATCGGCGGATCGGTGTAGGCGGCTTCCGCCTGGCGGAGGAGCGCGATGAGCGCGAGGAGGGCGTTGAGGGCGAGGCGCGAGGGGATGGGGAGGAAGAATGGGAGGGCGCGAGGGAATGAGGCCATAATGTTGTGTGAGAATCTGGAAATGTGCGGATTAGAATGAGAGTGTGCGATTGGAGAGGCGGAAATGGCACTAGAAGTATTTAGTCCCTACGTGGGCGCGAGGGGAATGGCGCCATATGTTGAGTGAGAATCTGGAAAGACTAATTGTGCGGATAAGATTTAGAGTGTACGATTGCGAAACGGATATATCACTAGTAGTAGTATATAGTCCCTACTTGGGCAACGACTCGCGCACTACTGAGCCTTGTATTGCTAGTACTAATGCCGGTCGTTGTTGTACGGATTTTTTGAGCGAGATCGAGGGAGGTCGAGTTTTTACTAGTACCTGTGACATCTCGAAAATGGGAAGTTCGGAAAGCCACTCAAAATACACTCTGCCGCAACTTCCTCGATAATTTTTGCCCGGCACTTTCAAGTCAAGGTTTTAGAACTGCATACCGACAGTAACTGACAAACCAACTACCCAGTCACTATTCCGCTGCATTCTGTACACATGCGTGTATAAAATCAGATACTACACCCGCTACGTTGTCGTTGCTAAAACGTAACTGTCTGCACCACAGGAAAGTTTATCTAACCTAACCTATCCAACCATCTAGAAAGTTACAACTACGCAACCCCAACTGCCATCCGTACGCGACAACCTACGTGGCATCCAGTATCAACCCGATTGTCCACGTAAGCGTACACCCACCAAAACGTACCCGCACCCCATCCGTTAGATATACCGTTTGTTCATGCAATCTCGATGGTTCACGTGTCGCCCCGTCAGCAACTCGCACATTATGTTACTCCTTCGCGAGCACCACCTCGCTCGTGATCGCTGACACATCGCACTCGTATCTTCTCCGTCCATCTCCCCATCACTCAGCCTGTACATACGCGACACTTGGAAGCACCTCACCGGTTCGCACGTCGCAAATCACGGGTACGGGACCCACTAGCATTTTCCCAAGTGGCATCAATCGGAGAGCGCATTATGCATATCCACCCTAACCAACATTGCACACTCGCCGTACAAATGTCGCAACGCCAACGTTTCGTTTACTTCGCCATATCTCTCGCCACCCAGTCGTTTTACACACGCTACAAGGTGGCGACTCCATCCGCACCGTCCATCAGCACACATAGTCTCCGACACCAAGCTGCCACGTCACGCTCACATCCGCGATCTACCCCGTACACTTGCCTTCGAATCGTCCTCTCGCACATCTAGTAACCATCCATCCATCTCATCGCCATATTCATTCGCTCAATGTGCGCGAAACAATCGTGACCGTACACCTGTCGCGCCCACCGCGAATATCAAGACGAGTTCCCAACCAGTACGCCATCACTCCTATGCGTAAATGTGATTGTTCTAACGTACTGGAGGATGACACGCGTAGTTTTGTGCGTGCATGTCACGTTGGGCATAGGTTCCAGTTCAATGCTTATCCATGATGTTATCCAATCGGAGCGCCACATGCCCGCACTGTTGTGACGGGCACGTCCAACCCAGTCGCGACATATGGAACACTCCGCGACACACGCCGCCAAGTGCGGCGCACCATTAGTCCACCCGCACACCTGGTTCACACCTGCATGCCGCATTGTACATCCTCCTCTACATGCCTGGGCTATCTTGTGCAACAATACCCCAAACGAGATCTCCCATTGATAACAAAGGCGCACACAATGAGTTACACAACTCCTAACTACACCAATCATCCTCAACTCTCAATCAAACACATGCAACCCCCCTATCCCACATAGCTAAACTTCCTACACCGCACACATAAGCCCAGACGATTCCATCAACGCAGCTCTCCAACAGTCCCGTCAACCGTCCACCACCCCCGTCCTCTATTGACGGTCTACTCAGCACCAAGTGACGCCGAAAGGTCGTCATCCCCTACGATGCCTTCAGACTGGGCGGTGGCCATGGGCCTCATGTGCTCCAGGCCGCACGCAGAGATGCGCAGTCCATGGCGCCCCCAAATCCACGCCTCGCGCTCCGCGTCATACTCGGGGTTGCGGATACGGATGGCCCTCTCCACGGCCTCCTTGACCAGGACCTTGAGCCCATCCACAACGTGGGCGTTCCCGCCCGCCGAGTTGGAGAGCCGGCCTTTCCGCTCCTCCCAGTAGAGGACGCAGTCGGAGACCTGCGCCAACACACAAAGCGTCAGTCCATGCATTTCCAGTACGATGCACACCATTGCACACATCGACCGCACACACTCACCGCATGCTCCAACCAGGCCAGGTGGTACACCTTAAGGGTCATCACCAGCCCTGCCTTCTTCGGCTTAAAGGCAGCCTTCGCACATGTCGTGAACGCTCGGGAGGCAAACGGCATGCCATCCCTGTCGTGCGCCCAGCTCGTGAGCACTAGAGTTTCTGCACACCACATCCGCACTGTCAGTATCAATGTCCACAATTCTCGCATTGGTGCATGACTACAAACAGTCAACGACTCCAGCGCGCGTCTCCTGCACTCACCAGGGGGGTCTGCGCCAAGCCCAATGCGCTCCCTTATCTTCTCGATACTACGCTCTTTTTCAGGTGCCCACGGGCTGGATGCGTCCCTGTCGTCACGGAACAGGCCGAGCTTGGGAAGTGCGATGTCTCGCACGCGAGCGGCAGCCCTTGTCTTCCACTCAGACAGCGTCTTGTTGAGATCCGCTCGTCGAGACTTGTCAGCCGCCAACGCCAAACAAGCAAAGTTGTGAGGCAGGCGGTCCAGCACCGCGCACACTCCGTGAGTCTTATCATCGCTGCTCGGGTAGAAGGTCATCGTCGACGTTGGCCTGTTGAGAAACATGTGAACTCTGGCTAGCTCGCAAACCCTCTGCGCACACAATGTATACACCATTAACAACATCAGCGTACACCGTGGACCATCAACGGGCACACATTGCAACCCAATCCGGTCCATCACTAAGGAACCCTTTCGGAAACATGCCCGCTCACCTTCCACGCCTTGTGAGTCGGCATATGCGCCAACGCGCGTTGCAGAATAGGAGACTTTGCTGTACTCATATGACGACCAGTAGAACCATGCGTATCTTCCTCGTCGTCCTCTCCGTCATCGTCCGACACGCCGCTCCATGTCTCGCCACGCTGACGCTTCGGGTTCATGCACCCCTGCTCCGGGTCTCTCTGCTTCTGAGCCTTACGCTTACGAGAGCCACCAGAAGGCCGCGCCATTGCATTCAAGAACAGCGCCTCCAACCGCGCGTTCTCCTTGGCGCTCTTGTCCTGAGCCCGTATGAGTTGCTCGAGGACCCTGCTCGAGATGCGCACGTCATCGCCGTCGGTGTCCACTGGGGTCCCGCATGTGCGGTCCACATGTCCGTCCACATGTCCTCGGCCTTCGCCTCGAAACACATCCGTCTCCCGCGCGCCCCGACTTTCGCGCCCGTCGGCTTTGGGCGAAGCGGTTCCCGCACACCCATCGTCGCCCGTCTTCCCCCCCGTGGCAGGTTCGTCGGATTCTTCGGGTGAGCCTGAGGCCGATGTGTCTGAGTCTGCCTCGCCATCCTCTTCATTGCGCTCGGACGATGAAGCACTCTCTGCACCAGTGCCGTCATCTGCGATGTTAAAGATGCACCAGAAAAGCACGGTACCTCATGTCAGCTATAGTTGTTGTACACGGGGGTTCTTATGTATAGACAGTACGAACACTCTCATTAATACAACGAGTCACCCATCCACGCTCTTGCTGCATACCTTGCTCCTGCTGCACCACCTCGTTTCCCTTCTTGGCCACGGTCAGACACTTAGGCAGTGTCGGCCCGCGTTTCCCGTTCGACAGCCGACCTCGCGGCATTGTCAGCTGATACGACGCTCGTAGGTACGCCGGCGGGTGTGATACACGACGGGAGCGCCCTCCCGTCCGAGTATCCTCTGAAGCAAGCGAAGTATCCATTGTAGCAACGTAAGTATCCAGTGAGATGCTCACAGAATGACGCGCGGTTCTATATTTCTACGTATATTTTCCGCTCAACTTCTTACCACACCGGAGACCAGCTTGGGCAGTGAGTTTGGTAGGCAATACGACTTCGTGGCCATTTGGATGACCGCAATCCGAAACGACTAATACATGCACACCACGTCATCCGCCACCCTGTACATCTGTGCACACATGAACCACACACCGTGCACATCCTGGTGACACAACCGTATCCTTGCAACTCGTTTGTGAGTCCACCATGTCTCACTGACATATTCAGGGTACACGTTGTTGACTTACTTCTGTTCATTATACATCTCACAAATTGCACATTACCCTAGCACACAATGTAAATACCACTACGGCTACATTGTGTACGCAAGAGCCTTCGCATTCATCAATCGTGCATACAAGCAGACAGAATGACGCGCTGCAAATCTCTAACTGCAGTACACGCTAAACACTCCGTACACCGACGTGTCTCTTGGACGTCTATGCCGCTACATCCAATATGCAGGAGGGGCTGACAACTTCTCATGTGCAACAGAGTCTTCCACACCCTCTTCGGCTTCGTTGTTCCTCGCACACCCGCCGATGCCATTGTGCACAGGGGCCGTTCCCCCACTCTCAGCATTGTCAGGGTCGTCTGGTTCGTTGGCCGCCGTGTTGTTGCTATCCACCACCCTCTGCCTCTTTGACGTACCTGTGGCAACCACTCGCTTCCTCCCTCGTTTCAGCTTCCAGTTCACGCCCTCCCGCGCCTCCCTCCAGCTCCGCCACCTCCACCACCTCCGCGCTTCCACCAGGAGCTGCAGATCTTCCTTGGTGCAACCACGCAGCATCGCCTTCTCTGCGGCTGACAGACTGACAGTGTTGGGTATCTTGTCTCGTGGCCTCAGGACGAACGCACCTGCGGCGTACGCAAACGCGGCCTCCTCCTCCAAGGTGTATGCTCCCAGCCGCTGTTGCTTACGCTTTCCTCCTTCCTTGATCAGGATCTTCACGCCGTACTTGCCGGATGCTTTCTCCAACTTGACTCCTGTATACTTGGTGGCACATGTGTTTTCGCCATCCTCTTCGTCCTCCGTGTCTGACACGAGATCCTCTTCTTCTTCGGCCTTCACCGTCTCATGGCCTCTCGTATCTCCCCACGCATCAGCTCCAGCCGGCACAGTCACCTCGAGCAGCGGTCTCCCGCGGGTGAACATCCAGTGAGGTATGGTCCCTCCCGTCAGCAGCGGGTTCTGCAGCAAGCGCGCTGTCGGATCACATGCAGCGAACGAGGAGGCCAGCGCAACCCGGGTGGCGTTGCGTACGCCATCCTCCTCTGGACTGCTGTCATCCCGCCTCTTACGACCAAATGGACACTGTGGAGTTGGTGGAGCATTCTTGGTGCCACCTGCCTCTGCGTTCGCGCCGGGTCTCACGGGGTTACCTTGCATCTGTAGTTGGGTTGCAGCGGACACCACCTCGTCGCGCCTCAATCCCACAAAATTAGCTATGACGGTGAAGCTCGCGTCCAGGTACCTCACATCGTTCTTCAAAGTTGCCATTTCCCTCATCATCTCCGTTACCCGTGCGTCATCCTCGGCTTGAGTAACCGGTGCATGCCTCACATCTTCCGTACCAGCGTTCCTCTCCCGCACCACTGCCCCCCCCTCTGTAACCCGGCCTTCGTCCTGCGGAGGGATTTCGATCCCCAGTGCTTCCAGCTGGTGAATAAGATCTCCGCTCGCGTGTGCGCACAAGTCGCGCCGCATCTCCCGCCGGTATTGGTGCGGCGTCACACCCTGAAACCAGAGCCCGCTCAATACCGTGGTGAAGTCGGTATTCACCAAGGTCTTGAGGTACTGACAAACAAAAATTCCACAGTCTCTCCTTGTTCGGCTGCTGTGGCAGCTTATCCTCCTGCAATTCGCAAAACGCACACTACAGTTAGCAATCCGTCTACCCTCGTAAACAAGCCGCTCACCGGTATGCGCCCTCAATGGTACCCTCACCCGTAATGTTATGCAATCCGCCTCCAAGAGCTGCTTTTCCACAAACTCCATGTTCGCGTCACGGTTACTCGCCTTGGCAAGTTCGGACAGCACACTGCACGGTACAGGCCGAAATCGTTAAAACAACAACTGGGTTGCTGCCAGCGACATGCAACGTCGACAGTGAACCCCGTACTCACAGCTTGGTGCCTGCAAAAATCTTCCGGGTATTCCTTGTGTTTATGCTACTGTCCAGCAAGACCAACTTCATTCGCTCTTTGCCGGGAGATTTTGCGGACTTGGTGAGCACCGATGGAGATATAGCGATGACGAGCGAGTAGTGCTCACTACGCGCAACATGAGAGGGTATGTTGGGATTAGGGTTAGACAATCATCAGTGTCACGCTAAAAAAACCGCTCACTAACCGGATAGGCACGATACGTACCCCTCTAGCACAGGGATCGCGAGATAGTCGTGCTCCAGTAGCGGAAGCCCGTTCCCCAGCGTCAAAGGCGCTCCACACGTGTTCGTCTGGAAGTACGCCTTGCAGTCCAAGGCAGCCCATGTTTTCCCGTCACGGAGAGTCGGCTTCCGGATGCTAAGCAGCCTGCAAAGTTCATGAACAAGAAAACACAGTGCACATCAAATGTTGCCCAGACATCAGATACTACGCAACCAAGCGTCAACCAGGTGACCGCCTGGACGAGACTTACACGTTGTGAAAGTCGAGCACGCCATCAGTAATCCATTGATCTTCCTCGATCGACATGAGGTCGTTCTTATCCACCTCACACCCGACACCGCGGTGATTTATTAGCGTCATGTTTCTGTACTAACACTTCACGTAATTCCGTGTGACAAGGGCCACCAAATCTTCCGGCACCGGCTCCCGCGCCGTATCCTCTTTATGAGTCGCGAACTTCCTGGCCCTTCCGGAGTCCTTAGTCTGCGGGATCGGCCCTGGATTCTTCATGTTAGGCTTGGCCTTTTTCGACGACCTGGTTCTGCACGCCGGCGGGGCAGGAACTTGGTCGTCGGAGCTGCTGCTAGTCTCGGGTTGATAGAACCGGTTGCGCTTAAATGTCAACTGCTTAGGATTCGCCATCATGATCTAACAATGACGAGAATACTGACTACGATGGCTGATTAAAACGTGAGCATGGTGGGGTTGGCTGTATGAACACATTTACGGGGAGCGCAAGCGATGAGGATACTATGGAAAAGGAAGGAGAGAGCAAGGCGTAACCCTGTTGTATCATGCCCAGCTGGTGGGACCGTCATGTAGAGCTGCAATGATCTACACCGTTGGCGCAAGGGTGCATGCGATGGCTAGGTGTGATGCGACCACTCGAGAGGCTGTGATGGATCAGCGCCATGCAGATCCACGCGTTCTAAGCCTAGGGTTTCTGATGATGTGGTCGGAGGTTGAAGGCGGGTTACCAAGCCGATGCATGCAAGCGAATATGGGGTCGTGTACCTGTAGCCCGATTTTTATACTATGGAGGCCGAATGACGCGAAAAAATGTAACGATGTACGCCGTAGGGTGAACATGGGGATATGTGTCTCATCGCGCGCCGAGTCTCATTTATGGCATGTCGGTGTACATGGTTATTAAACTCAGTGAACTAGTAAACGCGATTACAATGTGTTTTGTTACGTCAGTGTACGTTGGAGTTTGTTTACCTAAACATTCGTGATTCGCCATGACAATGAAACAAAGCTACACAATGTTATTGGTGGGCACGGAAAGAGATGAGGATAATATAAATTTGTTGATTAAATTAGTGTGCTGGTCGGTGTAGCGGTGTGTCATTAGTACACGACGAATCACATACAAAACATACACACATAAGATAGTTGTTCCTTTCACTGTAACGCGTTCGGTGCGGTTCTGTGCACACTCAACTCAGCTTCCTGCACATGTGTGTGCTCGAACCAGCCCATCTCTGTTGTAGTAGAGTGCACCAGAGGTACTGGGCAGGGTTTTCACAGCAGCAATCCCTAGGGTTTCACGGCTGTAGGATGACGGGGAACAGTTGCCTGGTGTGCAAGACGGTGTTTAAGGATGACAGCAGGTTACAGTCTCATGTAGCGAATGGGGCTGTTTGTCGCGAGGAGTTGAAGAGGAAGCGTGAACGACTTTTGTGGGCAGCATATTTGGAAGCCGTTGCGTGCGATGGAGAGAGTAGACCAAACACCCCACCGGCATCCAGGCTTAAAAACAACGATGGCAGCTTTGTCTCCGTTGCTCCAACGGTCTCGATTCCCGAAGTTAGTGTGGTTGGCGATGCGGATACACCATCCGACGGCGCTAACGCCGAGTCTTCAGAAGGCAGCGATAGGACGGAGATTTTTTATACACTGACAGAGTTGTACCAGTTTTTCCGTGACGCCGATCTGTCGCACAGGGAAGTTAACCGTCTACTACACATTTTCCGCAACCCTTGCTTCAACCTAAGGGCACTCAGACGATGGCGCAACTGGGTGGATGTGCGCCGCTGGGGCATGGCGCGAGCTCCAGCCGACATGGTCCCGTGGAAAACGGAGGAGATAGTGGTGAGGGGTCCCAAAGGACTGCAAATGAAGCTGCTACTGCACTTCCGCGACACCGAGTTGGTACGTAATGGGAGGCCAACCTGGACGGCGATGTCGGGGTGACGTGTAGATGATGATGGCCCGCATCATGTTCTCACCCACGTTCTTACGCGACGCACGCAGATCTTGAAGAAGCTGGTGCGGACGTTCTCATCCAAAAAGGGGTTCGTTTGGAAGCCGAGGAAGATTTATCGGAAGAAGAACAACGAGAGGGTATTTGAGGGACCGGAGACAGGTGATTGGATGCACTCTGCTCAGGTACGCACATGTTTGATGTTCCGTTGTCATATGTCGCGCATACTGGTAGCTGCAAGTGGTGTCACAATGCTCACCGGGCCGTGCGCTGTACATGGCAGAAGGAGATTAATGACGACCAGACACTCGTACTAGGCGTGCTGATATACAACGATAGCACGCAGGCATCACAGAATGGACGAAGGAACGCGTGGCCTGTGCTGATCTCACTTATCAACATACCCGAAGAATTGCGTGGAGTGGAGCCCGGGCACACATTGGCGGCGGTGCTTCCATTCCCGCCTGAGTGGGCTTCGCCTACGGAGAAGACGCGCGTGTTCCAGGAGGCACTGAAGATAATACTCGCGCCCATCATGCGAGAGTCTGCCAGGTACTGGGAGGGGAGGGGGGTGGGGATGATAACGCTACACGGGTGGGGAAGGGGGGGCACCCCCGTTAGTAGCCACCCTATTGAGAGATATGCACACGATCCATCACTAAGTGAACACTATGTGTGCATTGCGTCACTATGCAGCGCGCCATTACGCTTCTTCTACTGCATAGACGCGGACGGGAAGGTGCACAAGGCGGTCCCTTGCCTGTACGGATACCCTGCCGACTTCCCGGAATCCAGCAGAGCCTCCGCAACTCTTCAGCAAGGATCGCATCGGCCATGCGCTAACTGCTATGCTATGAAGGGGGAGTTGACCATGATGGTGGGGAAGTCTGATCCACGGACCCCCGATCAGCAGAGGGACATTGTTCGTCAGATTTTGGCGTGCAAGAAGAAGGGCGAGGCAAATGATGTGCGGAAGTTATGGTCAACCCATCCGATCGAGGTGTGTTTGCTGTTGCGCAGTTTGGTGGTGCGTACTGAAAGGGGGCTGGATATCATGTGGACTGCTTGACAACATTGAGTCATCTGTTGGATGGTTGCAGTGCGTGCTTCAAAGGTGGAATTTCGCAGACACAGAGTGGGGAAACGTGTACCTGGCATGCCTAGCAGACACACTGCACGTTCTGGACTCCGGTGTGCTGAGCCACATGATGGACACCTACATCGAACCTCTTGGAAAGGTTGAGATGCGGCTGCTTGAAAGGTGAGCTAGGTGTAGTCGGGTGTGAGAGCGGTAGCCAGCTCTACTCTGCAGGGGTTAGTGGGGTCCAGGCCCCCATGTGTGTCAGCGGATGACCACTTCGTACTATGTATGTGCGCTGCCGCAAGAAGGAGTTCAAGCGTTTCACTCCAAGCGTTCTCCTCCGTATCCCTGGGGGATCATTGTTCTTCAGTTCTGGCGCAAACTACGCGGCGTTCGAGCACAGGAGCATGATGCAGATAATGTCGTTACTGGTGGCAGACGAGAGTGCATTGAAGGCTGGACCGGAGGGAGAGCTGCGTGCTTTGCAGGTCAAGGCTTTCCGGCTGTTTGCCGTGTTTTACAAGGCATTTCTGGGGGTTGACAGGCACACACACACGACAACTGCGATTGCCCGGCAGCATGCGATAGCGTGAGTACTTGTATACCCCACGCCGTGGGGTTACACGGATTTATGGGAGGGTATGCTGAAAGATTGCACGGCTATTTTGAGGTCGCCATATACGATGATGCATCCAGTATTGTGCCTTGTCGGGGGTGCCGGTGCAGGTTGGTGGCGTTGCTACCGAAGGCATTTCCAACGCAGGCATCCCACTGGCAGCTCCTAAAGATACACATGATAAGACATTTGCTGGACAACGTCAAGGAGCGTGAGATGCCGCACCACTATTCAACCGAAATGTGGGAGCGCACGCACAAGGGCACGGTGAAGGGTCCAGTAAGAGGGAGCAATTGGAGCGACATACCTCGACGAATCGTGGAGGAGGAGGTGCAGCGCGAGGTGTACCGCGAGGTGGCGGCGGACGCTGGGGGTGGGCGACAGTACGCGTCCGCCTTGCGTGAGGTGTGTTAGGGGGACTTGGGGACGATGATGGCCAGTGTTGGTAGTCCAGAGTACACCGTACACCGGGGTGGAGGCGTGCTTCAAACACCGTGTGGTTCGTTGTGAGAATGCGTGTGTTACGTGCAGGCAATCAAGACGAAGAAACCGGTGCTCACGAAGAAGTGGCGGACAATGCGGATTGGCGGAGCGTCGGATCCAGTGTACGATGAGTACATAACCGCGCTGGGAGACGATATGAAGGGTTTGGCTGATGAGTTTAAGGCGTTGGGCCTGGCTACCAACAGCGTGCAGGTGAAGTGATTACAATGTGGCGGGCATGTGACGTTTGTAGTCTTACATGATGGTGCTCACCGCACTCATGATGTGCACGTGTTGTTGGTTTGGTTGGGATGGTGTGACAGGTCCACACGGCGGTGGCCATTCCGCGCACAAGAGGCGGCGAGCTGGTGGCCAAAGGGACATTTGTGAAGGCGTCGCCCCGAGAAAGGTGGTATTCGGACGTGGCGCTGCTCAATGACAAGGGTGGGGACTGGTATGCAAAATGTCTGTGCATCTTCAGGGCGGTTGACCGTGATGGGGATTGGAAGGGGTACGCATATGTGAGGTACTTGTCAAATGTTATATATGCCATATATGTCTAGGCTGTAGTGGGGTAGCCAATATTGGGTACAACCCCTTCTAGGGTTACATATTTGTACCCAACTCTGTGGGCCCACCACCTTTTTTTTTCCGCCCTACTGTTGCCCCTAGCGGGCCCTACTGCTGCGTCGCGCCCTGCTGCTGCGTCGCGCCCTGCGGTCGCGTCGCGCCCTACTGCCGCGTTGCGCCCTGCTGCCGTGTAGCGCGCGATGCTGTTGCGTCGCGCGCGCTGCCGCCGCGTCGCGCGCCCGCCAGTCGCGCCGCGCGCCTGCCCGTTACGTCGCGCGCCCGCCAGCCGCGCCGCCCACCCTGCTGCGTCGCGCGCGCTGCTGCCGCGGCGCCCGCCCTACTGCGCCGCCCGTGCCCTGCTGCACCGCCCGCGCCCTGCTGCGTCGCCCGCGCCCTGCTGCGTCGGCCGCGCCCTGCTGCGCCGCCCGCGCCCCGCTGCGCCGCCCGCACCCTGCTGCGCTGCCCGCGCCCTACTGCGCCGCCCGTGCCCTGCTGCACTGGCCGTGCACCGCTTTTCTGCCTACTCGTGCGCCACTTTCTGCATACCCGCACGTCGCTTTCTGCAGCCCGTGCACTGCACTCTGCCTACCCGTGCGCCGTTTTCTGTCTACCCGCACGTCGTTTTCTGCACACCGTGCACCGCTTTTCTGCCTACCCGTGCACCGCTTTTCTGCCTACCCGTGCGCCGCTTTCTGCCTACCCGTGCGCCGCTTTTTGCCTACCCGTGCGCCGCTTTCTGCCTACCCGCGCGTCGTTTTCTGCAGCCCGTGCACCTAGCACTATGGCCACCCTTCGTGTTCTTTCTTTCGATCCCGAGGGCCGCCCTGTAGAGTTCGACTCCTGGCTAGATGACTTGCAGCTCTACCTCATAAGCACCAGCAAAGACGAGATCTCACTCTTTGACCACACCTCCGGGGCCCTAGCCGCTCCTGGTGATACAGCTGCCCTTAGCGAGCGCTCTCAGTGGCTGACGCGCGACGCTGCTGCCCGCCTTGCTATCCGCAACCACCTGCCGCTAGCGGAACTCAAGCACTTTGGCGAGCACAAAACCGCTAAGGCCCTGTACGACGCTGTAGTTGCTCGCTACTCCTCCCCTGCCACTGCTGCGCTCAGCCGCCTCATGCTGCCGTACCTGTTCCCCGAGCTGTCGAGCTTTGCCACCGTAGCCGACCTCATCACCCACCTTCGCTCTAGTGACGCTCGTGTCCGTGCCGCACTCCGCAAGGAGTTTGTTGCCCAGCACCCCCCTCCGATGTACTGGACGCTCCACTTTATAGTGACCTGCCTCCCTGACACCCTTCGCTCAATCAGGGACCACTTCCTAGCGCGTTGTCCCTCCGACCTCACCATAGACCTCCTAGAGGAGCACCTCTTAGCCGCTGAGAGCAGCATTGTTAGTGTGGCTGCTGCTCGTGGCGCTCCTCGCACCCCCATCTTTGAGGGGTGCGCTTCTTCCCCTCTTGCCCCCTCCTACGCCACTGCTGCCGCTGTAGACTTCCTCGGAGCTGACTCAGTTGGTGCTGCCTCTACTTCTACCGGGCGGCGCCGCACCGGCAAGGGCAAGGGGGGCAAGGGCGGTGGTGGAGGTGGGGGCGGAGGAGGAGGTGGAGGAGGTGGGGGTGGCGGTGGGAGTGGAGGCAGTGGCGGCGGGAGTGCTGGTGGGAGTGGTAGCGGCGGTGGTGGAGGTGGTGGTGGTGGCGGCGGTGGGAGTGGCGGTGGTGGCGGTAGCGGCGGTGGTGGTGGTAGCGGAGGCGGTGGCGGTCGTGGTGGAGGCGCTGGGCAGCGACAGCAGCAGCAGCGGTCCCTTACGCCTCAGCAGCTTCGTGAGTGGTTGGCTCAGAGGGGTACGTCTGGGGGTACTCGCTGTCCGTATGTCATTCGCACCGGTGAGCGTGCTGGTCAGACATGCGGCAAGCCCCACCCCCAGCAGCGTTGCTTCTCCCGCCTTGACGACGCCTGGCGTGAGGAGATGGGTGCAGAGGTTGAGACCCCTCGCTGGTTTGATCTGCTTAAGAAGGGTGTAGACATTTTTGCTCTTGACTATGATGCTATTCTTGCTGCCATGTATGCATTGTCTGTTAGTGCTGAGGGTGACTGCTACCTGTGTCTGCCGCCTGATCCAGGTATAGAGCCAGCAGCTCTTGGTGCTTGCGAGTCTGCGCTCTCAGGTACCGCGTCAGCTGCCTTAGGTGTGAGTGAGTCTGCTCTGTCATGTACTGCGCCTGCTACCGCCTTACACAACTTCACTCTTGACTCAGGTGCTTCCAGGTGTTTCTTCCGTGACAGCACAGTCCTCACACCGCTCCCTGCACCAGTTGCAGTCTCCCTGGCTGACCCCTCGGGGGGTCCAGTCCTTGCACGGTCTACCACTGTGCTTCCTTGCCCAGCGGTCCCGTCTGGTTCGCTGTCAGGTCTCCACCTCCCCTCGTTCTCTACGAACTTGGTGAGCAACGCTGTCCTTCAGGACCACTGGGTTGATACCTTCACCCCTGGAGGACAGCGTGTGGCGATCTGTACGTGCTCCAGGACTGGGCGACACCTGGCCACGTTCACGCGTGCGCCAGGGTCGAGCCTTTACACACTGACCACTGTGTCTCCCCAGGTAGCTGCTGTCGGTCAGGCGTCTGCGTCAGGTCAGCTAGACTCCCCTTGCTCGTGTCGCTCCCTGTCGCACCAGACCATTCTCTGGCACCACCGTCTGGGCCACCCCTCCCTGCCCCGTCTTCGTGACATGCACCGTCGCGTCCTTGTGTCTGGTCTTCCCCGGAATCTGCCTCCTCTCCCTGCTTCGCCTGCCCCTGCCTGCCTTCCTTGCGTCGAGGGGCGGCAGCGCGCCGCTCCTCACTCCTCCTCGTTTCCTCCGACAGAGGCTCCGCTGCAGACTCTCCACATGGACGTGTGGGGCCCCGCCCGCGTTTGCGGACGGGGTGGAGAGCGGTACTTCCTGCTGGTCGTTGACGACTACTCGCGTTACACCACGGTCTTCCCCTTGCGCACCAAGGGTGAGGTCCCTGCTGTCCTGATCCCTTGGATCCGAGTGGTTCGTCTACAGCTACGCAGGAGGTTTCAGACCGACCTCCCTGTTCTGCGTCTGCACTCTGACAGGGGCGGAGAGTTCGCCTCCGACCTCTTGCGCGGCTTCTGTCAGGAGGAGGGCATCACCCAGTCTTACACGCTTCCGGGCTCACCGCAGCAAAATGGGGTTGCTGAGCGCCGCATTGGCCTGGTCATGGAGATCGCTCGTACCTCCTTGATCCATGCGGCGGCTCCCCATTTTCTGTGGCCGTTTGCGGTCAGGTACGCCGCACAGCAGCTCAACCTCTGGCCCCGTGTCTCTATTCCAGAGACTTCGCCCACACTGCGGTGGACGGGGGAGGTTGGAGATGCGTCGGTGTTCCGAGTCTGGGGTGCCCGTGCTCTTGTTCGCGATACGTCCGCGGACAAGCTCTCCTCCCGCACCCTTCCCTGTGTCTTCCTTGGCTTTCCGACTGACGCGCCTGGCTGGCAGTTTTACCACCCCGCCTCGCACACTGTCCTGTCTTCTCAGGACGTCACTTTTGACGAGTCAGTCCCTTTCTACCGCCTCTTTCCCTACCGCACTGCTCCTCTCCCTCCCCCGCCGCTCTTCCTTGCTCCAGGTCCCCCTCCGGTAGACCCCCTCCCCCCCCAGGGTCCTGCTCCTTCAGGTGTGTCTCAGGTAGACCCGCCCCCCTTAGCTGAGCCTGTCGAGGTCACTAGCGACTCAGGTGCTGCTGCGGGTGGTACTGCTCGAGGTGCTGCGTCTGGAGGTGCTGAGTCTCGGCGTGAGGTGCTGGAGGGTGCGGAGCCTGGGGGTGCTGAGCCGGTGCGTGAGGTGCTGGAGAGAGCAGAGCCTGAGGGTGCTGTGCCGGTGCGAGAGGTCCTGGAGGGTGCAGAGTCTGGACGCGCTGAGCCTGAGGGTGCTGGACCGGTTACTCGCCGGCCCCTTACACCAGCGGAGCTGCGAGAGTGGTTTGCGGTTCGTCAGCGACTGCGGAGGCGTCCTGGAGTTGGCGGTACTGCAGTTGGTGCTGGAGACACTAGTGCTACCGCAGGCCCTGGAGGTGCTCGTACCGGGGGTACTCGAGCTGCCGGGGCCGGTAGTTCTGGGGGTGCTGCTGGAGGTGCTGCTCGAGCTGCCGGTGGTGCTGGTGGTGGTGCTGCTGGCTCTGGGGGTGTTGGAGCTACTGGTGGTGCTGCTGCTGGCTCTGGGGGTGCTGGAGATACTGGAGGTGCTGCTGCTGGCTCTGGGGGTGCTGGTGCTGCTGGAGGTGCTGCTGGAGCTGGTGGAGCTGCTGGAGCTGCTGGTGGTGGTGCTGCTGGTTCTGGGGGTGCTGGAGCTACTGGTGGTGCTGCTGCTGGCTCTGGGGGTACTGGAGCTGCTGGAGCTACTGGAGGTGCTGCTGTTGGCTCTGGGGGTGCTGAGCGGCCAAGGCCGTACTTCGTTCCGCTCCTTGAGCAGGTTCTTGGCCTCCCGCCTTCTCCTGCTCCTCCCCCTTCCTTAGAGTGTCCACCGCCTGTCCTGTCGCCGTCACAGCTACAGCCCACCTCCCCACTGCCTGCTCCGTCTCCTTACGCTGGTCCGACTGGAGGTCTTACTGAGCGTCGTGAGCCTGCGTCTCGTCCTGTGTCGC